TCAGTTCTGCAGCCAGTATGACATTTGCAGCGTTGTCTGTGGTTATACAGACGAGTTTACTCTCCTCCAGATCCCACGTAGCCAGTGCTTGTTTCAAACCTGCAGCTATGTTCTGTCCTGTGTGGTCTTCTGGGAAAAAGGATGTCTGGAGACATTTCGTTTTCATGTTGAAATCCATGACAATGAAATGTACCGTGAGGCTCAAATACGGCTCCATGGTGCGGCTTGACCACAAGTCCGTTGTGGTGGCAAAATATTGGGCTGTAGGCACTTCCTTTGCGACACCATCATGACACTCGTCATATAAAGCGGGAATCGCCACTCGACTAAAATAGTGACGAGATGGCAAGTTATACCATTTGTCCAAAGTGTTGATTAGTTTCTTAAAGCCGGGGATGTCCACTGTGTTAATTGAGCATTGGTCTTTGGCGAGGAAAAACGTTACCGTGTTTGTTATCTCCTTGTGTCTCTGGGAGCTGGTGGGATATTTAGTCGCGTTGTACATGGTAGCGTGAATGGAGGTCTGTGAGGATGAAGCATGTGTTGTTGAGGGTTTTTCTCTATGCTCCTTCATTGTTTGATCGTATGTCACTTTGTGAGCGGTCTTCAAATGATTGAATAAATTTGTAGTGTTGCCCTGTGGTGCAGCTACAACACCGTAGCAAAGTTTACACACTATATCGACTTGATCCACATCGGACTCCGCGAACCCATAATGTTTCCACACCACTGAAGTAGTTTTACCTCGCTTTTCAACCAACGGCATTCTTTCTTTAGCAGCCATTATCCTCTCCAAATAACGTCTGCTTAGCTCTCCTCAGATACTCTTAATTGATGTGACACGTGTTCGAAACGCAGAGAGGTGCGCTCGATTTGCCACCTCGCAAGAGTAAAGCACGAGGGAGGTGCTAATAATCGGCTCAGTCATTTTTAATGATCGTTGAAAGCTCAGATCGTAATCGTGATTAAAATTCGATTAATTGAGCAGCCCTAACGTTTTCTGATTAAACAGAAATGTGAGATGGTCGAGAATTTGTCCTGTTATATTTGAGGGAGCAAGGAGCAGACGGCTGAGTTTATTAAACTCCACCGAGACAATCTACAAATTTCATTAAAAGTTTAATAAACTATTATTTTGTCTTTATTTTTAGTTAGCACATACCTTAAACACTTCAAGTTGTAAGCTAATGATAGTTAAATAAGAGCAGACGCATGCTGGTGCAATAGGCTGTATGTTTTACATCCAATGGATGCATGATCTGATTGGTTGACTAATCACAAAAATAATCGGTGACTAGTCGACTATCAAAATAATCATTTGTGGCAGCCCTACATCCATGTACATACTGGAAATGACAGCTTCAACATGGCATTTAACCTTTCATTAGTCAACTGGCTTGATTCAAAATGCAAAAGAACCCACCCATTATTTTAGACACACTCTAGATCTTGTTCTGACATTTGGCATAGAAACTGATCATTTAACATTATTTCCTGAAAACCCTCTTTTGTCAATCCATTTCCTACTAACATTTACATTTACAATAATGGATTACACCTAGAGCTGGGCGATAGAACGATAACGATATGTATCGCGATATAACTTTTACTCGATAGAGAAATTAAGCTATCGCGATAGACCTCGCCGCTCTTGTCCTCTTAAAAAAAAAAAAAAAAAAAAAAAAGGTCAGCCAATCCAAATCAAGTAGCGCAGAGCCGAACCAATCACAGCCACAGCGTCACGTCGCGTGACTTGTTATGTACAGCACAAGTGCCAAGCCGCACGTGTGTTTGTTTGGGAAGCAGCCAGCGGGTAATGGAGGAAATTAGTGTGCCGACTAGAAAAATCAACCGAGCGTGACCGAAGAGAAAACAGATGATGGTTCCAACGCCGGAGAGATTGTCGAACAGAAGAGCCATAGAAGTTCCGTAGTGTGAAGGTATTTCGGCTATTTCAAGTCTGACAAAAAACAGAGTAGCGTGCACTGTAAATGTGCCGAAAGCAAGTCTGGAAATACAATAAACTGGTGCATGCGTCACACTGCGCCACGTTATTGTTTCGGTGAAATGAATTTCTACAATACTGTTACTGTTAATTCTACTCTCTGCAGTGTTTAAATGCTTACATATACACACAGTTACTGTCCCTCCACACATACGACTCGGTTCTGCTTCTATGCCCCAGCTTTGTTTACTTTTTCCCACCGAGGCTTCTAGACTTCTGATTGGCCAACATTTCTGCACGGTTAGGAATCTAGCGCCACCTGCTGCTTTGACATGTTCATAGCAGCGTTTTCCTTCATTTCTGCCTTTATGTGTGGACGGGATTATTTTTTAAAACGAAAACGGAAAATCTCCGTTTTCAAAAATACCCGTGTACGTGTGGACGTAGCCTCAGTGTCTGACTGGAAGCGCTAATTCGTCATTCGGCTTTTGTCAGACTAAAGTAACTGTTAAAACTGTTTGAAAAGCTAAGCTATACAACAAGGAGAGATTGAGAATTTCCTTTTAGTTCTCAGTTTATTTGATATTGACAAAAGTTAGTCAATTTTGTCTGTTCTTCTGTAAAACAAACTAAGATTTATTTTTAGAATTAATATTTTGTTTCTAAGTGGAATTGACAATTTAGTCTGTTTCGTTTGTTCTATTTTGAAACTTAAACGCTTTAGCAGCTGCCTTTTGTGTAGTTTGCAATATTTGCCTTTATTTATCTGAAAAAGTCTCATGTTCCTTAAGTACATCTACCCTGTTGAACTTATTATGGGAAATAAATATTTAAATAAAAACAAGCTGCTGATTATTTCACATTTTACTTGTGAGCAACGGCACATTTAAATCTTACAAATATAGTTATTTGGCTTATATCGTGATAGATATCGTTATCGCCTGAAATGAAAAAAACATATCGTGATATGAAAAAATCTCATATCGCCCAGCTCTAATTACACCACAATGGAATAGATTACATCACAGCAGATGTCTTTCTGAATGCGCTGTAACCAAGTTTAAGGATATAATTAATCCACTGATATCTTCTTCAATGCCTTCAATGCGGAAAAAATTGTAGAGCAGCTACCTGAAGCTACTCCCACAGAGGTTGATTATCTTGTTATTATTTTTACTTCTTCACTGCATTCAACTCTAGATATTGTAGCTCCTCTAAAAAAGAAACCCTCACATCAGAAGTACTTGACTCCCTGGTGTAACTCACAAACACGCACCTTAAACCAGAGTACTCCTAAGCATGAGAGGAAATGGCGTCTCACCAGTAGGGCTGCAGCTAAAAATGATTTTGGTAGTTGACTAGTCTGCTAGTTTTTTTGTGATTAGTCAGTTAGTCAATGATTATTTAAATAACTCTTATCTCTGTGTCCTCTGGGAAAATATCCTGTTCTAGTTTCCAGTACCTCACCTGCTTAAGTCTGCCCACCTTAATATCACCCTGTTGTCTTGTCCCACGAAAAATTAAAATAATGACCTAGAAAATCAATTTGAAAAAAATTTATTTTTAACAATATTCAATAAGACTGTCAGAATAAAAATGAAATAAATACAAATATTAAGTAATACAAATTAAAATACTAGTAGTATTTAAACATAAAAAAATAATGTGTACATGGGAAACTTTAAAAAAAAAATTTCCGTGTACAACCATATCTTTTTTTTTTTTTTTACCACTCAGTGGAACAAACCACATTTAATATTGTTACCAGACTGCGTTTTGTTATCTCTTGTAACTCTCCATTGAATCTTGGGCTTCAGTGCCTTATTGTTGTGAGGACTCTACATTAAGGCAAAAGGTTGGTAAACAATTAAAATGAATATACTTCACAACACTTTAAAACGATTAAAATGCATGTTTTGTCCTGTACTATTATTCTGCTTTATTCTGTATTATTTTTGATGTAACTGCCATTTCCCATGGGCCATGCCCAAGTCAGAGTAAGGCTAAACAACACCTCAGTGCATTTGCCAGACACTTTAGAAATGCTCCGGAAAACGTAAGAATAACAAAATTGGATGCTTCTGTTAAGTGAGCCTTAATTACCACGGCATATGAAGTACATTGCACTACTTTGTGATCGATAAGCTTGTTGAACACCACACAACACCAAACAATCATTGTCAAAAATCTAACAACACAGACACAGCAGTAAAATCAGTAAACGTATAAGTGGACCTCAGCGTTGATTTTAGCTAGCAGTGTGGCTTTAATCGACAGTCTGTTACCACATGAGTCAGTTCTGTTCAAAACGCTTAACATTTCAAGCGCTCGATAATGGGCTAGACGTGCTGCAGCTACCCGAACCCACCTTACTGACTGCTTTCTCTACACCACAACGGTTCCAGGCGATGAAATTTGGCGACTATTCACCGAAAACAGTGGAGGTGAGAAGACGTTCAACTTTACGCAGACACTACTTCGCACGCGCACAGGCTGAACCAAGCTACTTCCGGTCACTATTTCAAAATAAAAGTAAAAAGTAAAACCTCACGTAAGATGACAACATTCTACCGTACGTACCTACATGCAATGTGATACGTAATATAATCTAACGTAATGAAACCAGCAGAGGTAGAGGTCCTACAGGGTATGACCGTTAGTGTTACGAATGCGTACGTGCGTAAGATATGTAAGCTAACATGGGTAAAA